GGGGGTCACCTAACTCAAGTTTGAAAAAATTGTGAAATGGAAATACAAGTACCTTATGATTTTCCAATAACATAGAATAATGATTTTACATATCTAGTAATCTTTTTCTTTTTGAAAATCCAGGGGGGAGGATCAAGTGATCCCTTGCCCCTTCCTGCGAGTGCCCATGCTAATCAATCATTTCAAATCTGAGTATTTTAAAGATAGGCATTGAATAGTATACCACTAAACTTTTTTTTTGCAATTCTAAAGTAAATCCATGCATACCAGAATTTATTTGCATTATAACAATTCTAAAGTAAATTTTGGCTAATAAAGGGAAATAACTATGTTACTGTAGACAAAGATACATTACATGAGGTACTTTTAGGAGACCGTATTTCCTTAGGTGCCAAAGTTCCTTTGGTTGTGTCTGCCAAATTTGTTCTGAGTAAAAACAATTCTACTCTTGTAATTAATTTAATCACAACTGTGCACGATCTTCACAAATATCAACCTAAACATAAAGAACAATACATTTTCACACAATGTTTCAAGATTACGTCCTAACACAATATTCTTCACAAAAACTGTCCGTTTTGTATCGGCAGTTTACTTTCATCTTCAAACTTGTTTGTTTTGAATTTCGCGCAAAGCTACAACACGAGGGTTAGCTATTTTTTACCAACGAACAGGTTTGACCATCACATTATAACGCCCCCCTAGGTGACAGGGATTCGAACCCGTGACCGTCAGATTGCTAGTCGAGCGCCTTAACCACCACGCTACGTCGAATTTGTAATTGAAAAAATAAAGCTTTTATAAGAGTATTTTATGAACATATCACACTTATCACTCTATATACATTTTTCTATCATTAGGGAATAGTTCACCGTGATCTGAAGTGTGAAAATCTTCTTCTGGACAGCAATGATGTACTCAAAATTACAGATTTTGGCTTTGCCAAGTTCATGGATGAAGTTATACCTACTGACGAAAACGACAGTTCAACCTCTCTGAGCCATACATTCTGTGGAAGTTACGCGTATGCTCCTCCTGAAATACTGACAGGAATTCCTTATTTGCCTCACTTATCAGACATCTGGAGCATGGGGGTAATCCTCTTTGCAATGGTCTATGGTCAACTCCCTTTCAATGATTCGAATCACCAAATGTTAATTCAGCAAGTACAAACGCCTGTGGTATTTCCTTCAAACACTGTATCCACGGAGGTGAAAAATATCATCAACAAAATGTTAGTTCCAGCCAATAATCGAATTTACATAGAGGACATTCGAAGTGATTCATGGTATAACCATATTTGAGATACTAAACAGCCGATTCAAACTAACAATGATACAGAATGAAAGACGGCAGGCCTACTGAAGTATCACATATAAGATCAAAGCAACAATCGACATGTAAACTAAATTACCAACTTTCAGTATGAATGACAAAACTGAAACTTGTATCTTACAACATCTTTATAAAAGTTAATTTCAATAATTGAACTACTTTTCTGTCATTAAAACTCCATCTATACTCTACTTACTACTAACATAAATTTGAGTTTCTAATAATAATCTCAACTATATTTACATTGTTTATCAATAAAGTATTTGTGTAAAAGGTATGTACATACACACACAATAAGATAGTATTATAGTATGTCATGGATGTTGAGTGACTAGGACATGGTAGTTCAACCTCATCCAACACCTGGTGACATCTGGAATTGTACATCAGTTCTGCAGTAGGCAGAGGATTACCTACCTCTTCACCACGAAACGAGAATTATTAGGGAAGACGAGCTTTCATATCAAAATCTGTCCCCACTTGCACGTATTTCCAACCCAATCAACACCTGATCCACCACGAACCGACATCCAATGGACAGTAAGTAGGAAGGTGGAATGCCCCAGTGGGATGACATGTGCTGTGTCCAGCTACAACCAGCACCAGATCCGCCAAGAATCAACATCCAGCAGGTGATAGGAAGTGTGTGTATTTATATGGCAGATTGCTTTTTCCCACCATAGCATTCCTTCCTACCATCCTATGGATGTACATTCCCAGTGGGTCTGGTGTTGGTTAGAGATGGCCTGGTCACGATTCAAACCATGTGTCAATGGCGTGACGTCATACCTACTGTGGACCTGATGTACAATTCCAGTTGCTGCCAGGGGTGGTCAGGTGTTGGTTGAAGATTGTCCAGTTAAGTAAGTCCTCACATGTGTTCTGGCTGGTATCCTACCACAGACTGGATAAAACATGCTCTATGCCATCAGGTTTTGGACTGGGAATGTACCCAGAATTTTTGGTCCCTCACACATACACACATATATATATATATATATATATATATATATGAATATGGCATAGTGTTACAACCAAAACATGGTGGTATCTGGAATTGTACATCAGGTCAATGGTAGGAATTGCTATATGCCATATTGACA